ATCTGAGAAGATGGAAAGCAGCCAACCACAACAACTCTTAGGATTTCTCTAGTTTCTTGGATCATAATCAGTCAGGCTTTACGCTGGGGCTTGGCACCAGGGCTATACTGCTGCTTTGAGTTGATGACTTTCTGGGAATAAACAGAGGTCAGATGTCCAGGCTGACTTTATTAACATTTGCCAAAAATCTTCTGATCCAGTTGACAATAAAGCAGCAGTGATCTGGCTACAGGATTTGGCAGAGGATAGTATCATTATCTTCAAGTCCTTAGTCCTTAACAAGAAACCTCCAAGACCCTAATATCTGTGACCATCTTTTTTCCTTAGCTGGCCTAGGAAAAGCTGAAGACCTTAAACGACTGAGACTGGAGATTCATCTTTTGCCGTTAAACTGTCTTCAGTTGTGATCCTTCTCCTTTGCATTTCTGTTTGTGAAGGATACTGAGAGGACTCATTGTATCTGGAGAGGAACAGACCTGTTCCCCCAGGGGTTATGGAGATGATAGCAGGAGTCGGTACCCTTAGCAGGTGCCAAGGCTGAGACCATGGAATCACTGAGTTAGAGGTGGAAGCACTGGGGCTCGGAGACCATGCTCAATACTGGCTTTCCCTCAGAGTGCAGGAATAAAAGAGGATTGGGATCCAGGGATGGCTAAGAGAAGACAGGTAAAGACGAGACCAGAAGTGTTGCACAACAGCCATTAGACATGCAGAGCTCTCAAAAGCAGCACCTGGCAGTGGGCAGAGGGTGGATATCCAGTGTGCCCCGTCTCCACATCCTGCTTTCTTCGTATCTACTCCACCTTACGTYGCCACCTCAACTCCTAAGAGACAGTAACTACCCCCTTAATCCTGTGTCCATACCCTAGCCTCCCCCACTCACCCCAGAGAAAACCCAACTGCAGAGTACTTTAATCTGAGTCCTTTATTAAAAGGACTGTAAATCAAGGTATTTTCCACAGGGGAGGAAAGGGGCTTTGGGGTGCTGCTTTGACACGCCCCACTCCTGTCAGTGCCTCTCAACATAATGCAGGTATAGAGCATGGTTAGGAAGCCTACCTGCTGTCTTGCAGTGAAAATCAAGAGCAGTATTTCAAGYTGTTCATATAAAACAGCTTTTCTAGTTTATTGCTTTTGCCTTGGAGGCTAGGAATCATAGCTCCTTTGAATTTTGGAAGGAATTAATTTGTAGATGACATCATTCAGTATATTCAAATATGGCAGGATTCAGATATTTTAAAATCAGCATTTGCTTTTCTTGGTTAAATGCAGCCATTTTTAGGGGTAATAATTGCTTAATATGCCTGGCACGTTATTGAAATCCCTTATGAGAGGCTCAAAATGAGTCAGAAGGTCAATTTATTCCTTGGCCAGGTTCCTTTCACAACACGCGTTTTCCTGTGCTGCTGTTCAGGAGGAGCAATTAAGACTTTTTTGTGTATTCAAAGCTTTCCAGCTGAATTCTGGCCCCATCAAATGATATCATCGGAGCTCTGGCTTTTGCCTGGTGGTGCACAGCTTTCATCTGTCAGTGAATCTTTGGGAGCCTTTCTTTTTTCTCAAGCATGAAACTATATATAAGACAAACTCTAGGATGTCCTTATTCCTCTGGCAGGCCCCTTGACTCTCTTTGCCATCTCCCTGGCTTTCTGCAGCTTTTAAGACACTTTCAGCTGCGTTGTTTCTGGGTCCTATACAGAAATATAAAATTATTTACCACTACTTTGAGAACAAAAAAAGCCCTCATTAAACTGCTTATAATTCTTCCAGTGTGGTCTTGCCAACATTCAGTAGGTAAAAACCACTACAAGRTCAGTAGCTACTTAATTCTCAGATCAGTGGCTTGCACTGCAAACTTCCCACTGTGCTTGATCAGCACACTAGATAGCTGTTGCAGCTCCAGCTGCCTTTGATGGGCACTTTCTCAGAATAGCTCACATAAGAAGTCAGCATATCTCAGTTCTCCTCTTCAGTTCCACTGAAGATGAGCCAGACTTTTATGAACCGTAAATGTACTTTGCATCCTCCCTCTTTTCCATAAAAATTTCCCCTTCCTCTGCCCAGCTTTTCTGTTTTCTCTGGCTTTAAACCATAGTATTTATAAAAACAGAAAATGTTACAGTTCAAAAGGTATTTGTTTTTTTAATGCTCTGCCCAGAGCCACTGGTTTGAACGAGGTGCTCTTCTCCACTTTCTGTCAAACTGAAGAGGTTTTATCTTAAGAGGTTCAGGGAGCCAAGTTAACAGAGCTTTTATTTTGGGATGCTGCGTTTAATGTTGATTAAATTTAAGCACAGGGGAGAGAGACATTTTTTCTTCTTTGTTCCTGGGCTGCTTATTAAAGAGCAATGACAGATATTTTAATACTTAATGGGTAAAATGTTATCAAATCATCAACTTCAAACACGGGAACTTTATGCAACACCAGATGCTTTATTCAAAGAGTTTCTCTTAATATTCGCACACAGAGCTTTTGTTATATTGCTGAAACAGTGTTATTGCCACATCTCATAGGCAAAACAAAAGGAAACAATGCTTTGGATAAAATGGCTTTATTAGATGACCTAAAAGGCATCAAGGAAAAAGAATAATTTGGTTGTGGAAGTCTCATTATAAGATCTGACAACTAATGCATCTTTATTCTTGAACACAGGTAGACGGAATCCGAGAGAGACTGTCAGAGCAACAATACAACAGACTTGTGGACTATATCACAAAGACCTCTTGTCACCTGGCCCCCAGCTGCTCTTCCATTCAAACACCATCCCCTGTGGTGGCTGTGGAACCTCCCCTTTCCACTGTTAAAACATACCATTATTTGGTGGACCCACATTTTGGTCAGGTCTTCATTAGTAAATTTACCATGGTGAAGAATAAAGCCCTAAGGAAAGGGTTCCCTTGAATCCCTTCTAAGATGATGATTCTTGCTTGTGCAGTTTATTTTTTAAACAAAGAACCTAGAGGTTAGCCAAGAGATACGGAATCAATGATGAATAAAAAGATAAAGAAGAAAAAAAAAAAACCTAGAGATTAGCTCCAACATTCATTGTGGACAAAAGACCAACACTTTTCGGTGGTTCAGGTATATAGTAACTTCTAAAATTATCTTAGCTTCTTTCTCCCTAAAAACAAATTAGATACTTTAAGATGGAGTTAAAAAAAAAAAAAAAAAGAGTAAGAAGGGGATGGGGTTCCTTTACCATTTGAAGACAGTGATTAAAACAATGCCGTCTGCTAAAATTTTCACAATAATTTGGACCTGTTAATGCTCTGCTCTACAGAAAAATACATGGATAGGCCTTAGAATGCAGATCCCTAATTCCATCTGTTTTGGGGGACTGAGATACCACCTCTGCCCAATACCCCTTTTTTGCAAAGGTTGATTCTTTAAATGAAATGAACTCTGTTGGTTAACTTTTAACTTTACTTAACTACAGCAACATTCTTTCAGTGAAAGCTACTACGTGTATTCCCTCCAAAGTCAGCATTTTACTGAAATTCACAAAACAGTCTATGACTCTGGGTACATTTTAGAAAAGTGTTCTTCCAATTTGTGTTTTAAATAGACAAGCTAAAAATCATTTGTGTCTACCAATTGTGTCTACCAATGACAGATCTGAAGCACTCAGGTGAGTTTCTTTAGTTCCACAAATAACATGTTAGGAACTCCTGGAAGGGGAGCCAAGAACACAACATTAATACTAGCAATGACATCAGTCCAGATAGTTTATTTTTCTGAGTGATTTGATAAAGCATGAAGATATTGCTAAATATTATTTTGCATCTCAGATTGGGTTTGACTCGGGGTCTAGAGTTACCAGATAAGTATCTTTCTCATGGTCTAATTAATTAAATTTGTCTTATTACTTTCAAACTTGGGCCTATAACTTATTGCCTACAATTGTGAAATGCTAAGAAAATGCAATTTTAAAGCGAACTGATCTTTGACTGAACTCTCACAGAGGTGTAGGCACAAGTCACCACTATGTCACTGTTAAAGGAAAGCAAGACTGATAATGGACAATTCAGGTTGTATATGAAAAATGGCTCCTCAGTTTGTTATATATACTTGTTTAGGAAAGTGACAGTTTTGTCAATCCCAAGAGTAACTATTTTTAAGAATGTAAATATGTACTAATTCTTGTATGTTTTATGGTAATTTTGCATACTGCTAAGAACTGTTATGTAAAGTTGTTTAAAATAAAAGGTGTCCTTGAATTTCAGGCCATATATAAACATCTATTTTTAACCAGGAGTTTTTAAGATGAAATTTTTCATTAATACCATCTGAGTTTAGTACAGGTTACATCACTGGGATTCAATTTTGCATGAGTTAAAAAGGGTAAAAGTTTTTGTTATCTTCAAGTGATAATTCATCACTAAACTAGCTTTGGATAAAATAAATAAATCAAAGTGCTCTATACTATCATTTTGATCACAACAAAAGGAAGTTATAAGAATTCTTTAATATTTATTTTCTAGTTGTAGAACTAAAAAATATCTTTATTTTATTTTTATGTGGTGCCGAGGATCAAACCCAGGGCCTCGCACATGCTAGGCGAGTGCTCTACCACTGAGCCAAAACCTCGGCCCCCACACAGATTTTATTGGAAGAACTTTCACTGTCCTTTAAGAGTCCACAATTCAGAAATTTTCTATGGACTCCTGGAGACCCTTTCAAGGCCAGGACCAGGTAACTGCACCTGGGAGTATCTTAGTGAAACAGAAAAAACATCAGGGCAGTTAAAGATGTACAAAAACAGGGCTGGGGTTATAGCTCCGCCTTGTACATGTGAGGCACTGGGTTCGATCCACAGCACCACACAAAAATATTGTGTCCACCTTAAAAAAAAAATAAATCTCTAAAAAAATGTATAAAACAATGAAAATACTGAAATCAAGTTATCTTCATAAGGTCCATAAACAGTACTAAAAGTTTCCAACCAATTACGATGCTTTTGGGCCCCAAATTATCAATAAGAATTGAGCAAAACATTGTATACAGTATTTGTTAATTGTTTATTTACCAAGAAAAACTATTTCTTAGCCCACATATTCATGTTTAATAGTTCAGGAGCACAAGTCAGTACAAACTTCTAAGGACCTCAATCCAAAGAAATTCTGTGGAGAGAGAGAAAATAGTTAAGTTAATAATAAACACTGTCTCTAATACTCACTACCTCACAACCTTTTGAGATTAACTGGGGTCTACTCCTTATTAGTAGACCCTACATTTTCACTGCTCACCTTCAACCCCAGGAGAAACCTCAGGCTGCCTAAGCTCTTATGTTCATTCTCCTACCAAGCTGCTTGACCACCCTAACTAGCTAGCCTCTTTTCCATTTTGGACAAAACATATCTTACACTTACTTCTTGCTTTCATTTAACAAATTCTGCTTTCTCCCCGCCCCCCCCAAGACCAACCCCTCCCCCATTCCCTCTCATATCTACACCTGTTGTTATAAAAGAACTTATTTGTTCCAAATTGTTTGTTTCCAAATCGTCATTGTTCTTACTGGTTAAAACAGCAATGTTAAGAATTAGACTATTAATATTTTTGTGGATCTTTTTCCCTGTGCAAGTCTCACAATAGCTCATCCCTACACATCTTAGTACATTTATCTGCGTTTCTAGAATTAAGTAATATAAGGCAAAAATCGCTCATAATATAAATTACATTTAACAATACCATTTAACACTATCATAGTATAAATTACATTTAACAATACATCCTTTCAGATCAATTTAGTAAATGATCTTTCATCAGCACACCATTCAATTCACTTTTAGATGTAGAACCTTAATTCACACAAGAGATATAAGGACCTCATGGATATGACAGACCAAATCAGAATCTACTCCCAAAAAACTAGCATATCAACTGTGGACACTCTAACAAACTATAAAAGGTATCTATCTAGCCAGGCTCAATGGCACATGCCTGTAACCCCAGCAATTTGGGAAGCTAAGGCAGGAGGATTACAAGGATTCCAGGCTTCTGCAATTTACCAGCACGTGTCAGGCAGTGGGATGGATCCTCAGCACCACATAAAAATAAATAAAATGAAGATACTGTGTCCATTCACAACTAAAAAAAAAGTATATGTGTATATGTATGAATATATGCTGGCTAGAATAGAACATCCCTGGGTTCAATTCTCAGTTCTTAAATAACAAGAACAAAGGCAAAAACACCATTGTTTTTTGAAAAGTCACTTCTTTCTAAAGGAATGATTTTCCTAATGCCAACCTATCAGTTAATAACAAAATATGTGAAATGATTTTGAACATAAAAAGGAACTTCCTATGTCAGTAAGATGATATTGGACTATAAAACTCCAGACCACACCCTTCCTACCCCTCATAAAACATATGTAGGATTGCAATAACTCTAGAAACCAGTTAAGCTGCAGCAACCAAATGAACACCTAACCAAGAAGAAAACCCCTCAAAATAGGAAATTTTGTGACATTTTTGCTTGACCTTGCCCCAACCCCTCTTCAGGTAGTGCAGTGTTATATGAAGGAAACCACCCAATTCCTGGCTCCTCCCTGGGATTGAAGGTGAAGAATACAACTTGCTTATTACAACATGCTAGCTCATCTGGGTTTCTGTCTTGCCTGACTTGGAGCACTGATGGGAATAGTGGTAGTCAGAATATCAGGTTGGAAACAAATGAAAGCAATGGTGGATGCCTTGGCATGAGAGCTGCAGACAGACTGAAGCCAAGAAATTATAAGAGGCAGAGAATAACTAGGGTTCCAAGAGGAAGCAGGACTGAAACTTTTTAGGAAAATTAAGAGTAACTGGGCTGGGGATGTGGCTCAAGCGGTAGTGCGCTCACCCGGCATGCATGGGGCGCTGGGTTCGATCCTCAGCACCACATAAAAATAAAGATGTTGTGTCCTCCGAAAACTAAGAAATAAATATTAAAAATTCTCTCTCTTAAAAAAAAAGAATAATTATGAATATTCAGAAACTGTAACAAAAAATGAATCCCGAGTAGATACATTCTCAGGAAAAGAGGATTCTGAGGCTGTATGCCAGGGGATGATTAGTGAAAGTCTTCTCCCATATGCAGTCAAAATCTGCAGAGTAGCTGTTTTGTTCAAATGCCCAAATTGCCACAAAAGATTACAAAGCACACAAACAAACAGAGAAATATGGCCCAAGAAACAATATCTCCAATAACAAGCCACAAAGAAACACTGACTTCTGACTAAAAACTTAAAAAACAATTATCTTAGTATGTTCATTGAGTTTGAAGAACAAGAACAGATAAATAAAAATCAGGAAAACAACATGAACAAAATAAAAAAAGCTGAAAAAATCAAATATTTGAAGAATTAATGTCAATCCTCTTCTAAAACCAAGAAAAAAAAATACTTCAATACTTAAGATGGACAAAAAAAAAAGAGAATTATAGGCCAATTGCACTAATATTGATGCAAAAATCCCTGATGAAAACACAAGTAAACCACTCAATAGCACATTGAAAGGATTACACATGAGGGCCAAGAGGTTTATTCCCAAAATGCAAGGTATGGTCAAACAAATTCATAAATGTGAAACATCATAGTAACAGAACAAAAGATTTTTTTTTAAATTACATGAGTATCTCAATAGATGCAGAAAAAAGTCTGATAAAATCCAGAACCTTGTAATGATAAAAACAATAAACTAGGTACATAAATAATGTACGCTAAAATATGTGTCCTTATAAGCTATTCAATATAATATGTACTGAAATCCTAATCAGAAAAATTAAACAAAAAGAAAAGACATCCAAAAATTGAAAGAAAAAAATTATCCCTGAAAGTAACAAGACCTTGTCTATAGAAAAATAAGGATTCCACACAAAAAATAAACTCATTAGAATAAACAAAATCAGTAAAGTTGCTGAATATAAAATCAGTTGTTTTTCTACACTAACAATGAACATTTTAAAGAAAATAGTCCCATTTACAATAGCATCAAAAAGAATAAAACAGGAATAAACTTTACCAAAAACATAAAAGACTTAAAACTAAAAATACAAATAAAACAATCCTATATTCACGGAGTGCAAAACTTTGTAAAGATGTCCATACTAAAAAAAAAAAAAAAAAAAAAGGATGACAGTTCTAACCAACGCAATCTACAGATTTAATGCAATCCCAATCAAAATGCCAACAGCATTTTTGGCAGAAATAGAAAAAGCCTTCCAAAATTCAGTCAGACTCTCAAAGTACTCTAAATAACTAAAACAATCTTGGGGGGGAGGAATTCACATTTCCTCATTTCAAAATGAACTACAAAGCTATAGTAATGAAAACAGTGTAGTACTAACATGAAGACAGGCATACAGAGCAATGGAATACAACAGAGAGCCCAGAAACAAATCCTTGAATATGTAGACAACTGATTTTCTACAAGTATGCCAAGTCCATTCATTGGGAGAAGACAATCTTAACAGGACATCCACATGCTAAACAAGTTATATATTTACATCATATACAAAGATTAACTCAAAAATAGATAAAAGAGGGCTGGGAGGTAGCAAGGTCATGGGTTCAATTCCTTAAAAAAAAAAAAAAAAAAATCAAAAGACCTAAAATGTAAGCACTAAAACAATAAAAAATGAACTGGACATCAAAATTTAAAACCTCTGCAAAAGATGCAATCCTCAGAGTGAAAAGGTAACTTGTGAAATAGGAGAAAATATATACAAATCAATCATATCTAATAAGGAGTTATATCCAGAATGATATAACTGATATAATGAGCCCCCACTACTCAACCAAAAAAACAACAAATTCAAATATGAATTTAAAAATGTGGAATTTTTACAACCTCCAATATACCCAATAAGGATAAACAAATGACCGATAAGCACATGAAATGATGTTCAACACTGAAAATCATTAGGAAATGTATATCAAAACCACTGAGATCTCACCCACATTAGGAAGGTTACTACCAAAAAAATAAGAGAGTAGGGCTAGGGTTGTGGCTCAGTGATTGAGCGCTTGCCTCGCACACATGAGGCACTGGGTTCGATCCTCAGCATCACATAAAAATAAATAAAAACAAAGCTATTGTGTCCCTGTATAACTAAAAAAAATATTTTAAAAAATAAATAAAAGAGTAACAAGTGTTGGTATGGATGTGGAGAAACTGGAACATTTGTGCACTGCTGGTGAGAATGTAAAATGTGGATAATAGTATGGCAATTTCTTAAAAACTTAACAAAATCATCATGATTCAGAAATTCCATTTCTGAGTACATACCCAAAAGAACTGAAAGGGGGACCCTGAAGAGATACTTTTAACACCTATGTTTGTAGTAGTTATTCACAACAACCAAAAGTTGAAAGCAACCCTAGTGTCTACTGATAAATGGATAAACAAAATGTATATACAAACAATGGAACATTTTTCAGCCTTATAAAATATACATCCTACACACAAATAAACACCAAGAATATTATGCTAAATAAAATAAGCCAGTCACAAAAGATAAATACTCTATGAATCTACTTATATGAATATCTAAAGTGGTCAGATTCTTAGAAAGTAAAATAGTGGTTGCCAAGGCCTCAGGGCAGAAGATGGGAAGTTGTTTAATGGACAGACAGAATCAATTTTACAAAAAAAGAGTTCTGGAAACTCCTTGCACAATAATGTGAATGTACAGTAATTAAATATTACTGAACTATACAATTACAAATGATTGATAGCAAATTTTATTTGCATTTTACCACAGTTCAAATGTTTTTGAAAAAGAGACTTCAAAAAATGGCATTACCTTTATATTCCAAAATTACTTTACACTCTGGAAGATTCCAGCCCGCCTCATCTCCTCAAAATCTTTCATGGAATCATAATTTCTGTAGAAATCTGCATATGCCTTCTTTCTTGGTTCAGCCACACCAAACTAAAAAGTTAACATACTGTTAATGTATTATTTGGATTATTAGTAATATCTAAAGTAAATTACAATATCATTTGTGTTCACTCTTTAACCCATTATGTCCTACAAAGAATTGAAAAATTGGAACTTCATGGGATTTGAACCCTACAATTATATGATAAGGAGTAGGAGAGGTGACCCAGATGCAAGGAATGAGGAAGTAGTTTCATGAAAACTAACAGCAAAAAAGGGCCCCCCTTCCTAGACTGTACCTTTCCCTGGGCAAGTTATGTATGTATGATTTATATGTGTGTTTGGTGAGAAACAAGTGCAGAATGGTAAGAGCCAGAAGATGATAGCAGCCAAAATGCTAAAAGATGTCTGACAAAAGATAAACAGTCTTCTCTCCAGCAAGCCTAAATATCRCCATAATATGTGTTGGATGCTGAGATGTGCAACAATTTTCTAGTTCAGTTAAAGCCACATTATGAATTTCAAAGGAGTCTAAAATTGATTTGGTAACCATCAGCCTCTAAAAGGCACAGGAAACTTTCTAGATGATTTATACTTCAACAACACATATGCTTTTGAAAGAAGAAAGGAGACTATTAGAGATGAGGAAGGGAAATGGGAAAAAGTAGGATAAGGGAGGTAGTAGGGAGGTGGGTTTTACCTATACTAATATGCCACAAGGAATAATATTCTGTATAATTAAATATGTACTGATAAAAAACATAAACTCTTAAGAGTGAGAATTGGCTTATTGGCTTATTTTAAAATGAAGGAATGAACCCAAGATGATGCCCACTGATCACTTTGAGAAAAAGAAAGCTTTAGTGCTGCTATAACCGCAGCAAAAGGATTAGAGGGAGGGGTCTTCATTTTGTTGTTGTAATTTTGTAGTTTCTATATATAAAAGGGGAGAAACAAAGAAAAAAATAAATGAAGATTCAAGAGAGCAATGTAGACCTAATCAAAGTCTAGAAGAAGCACTAACTGGAGTTAGGGGGCTGGAGCAGGATTCAAAACTATGGAAAAAATTTTATTCTCCACAAAACACTGCTTAGTGAATTTCAATGTGTGGGTTACAATCCAAATTCAAATCTAAGCCTGCATATAAAAACCAGGAAAAAATTCAAGTATCATGCCACATCAGTGAAATACTACAGAAACACAAATGAAGTCTACTGGGGCCCATCACTATACATGGTATTTAATTTTAGCATAAGCTTGACAGGGCTAAGGGATATGAAATACAGATGAAAAAACATTATTGCTAGATGTATCTGTAAGGGTATCTTGGGAAGAGATTGGACTAAAAAAGATCCAACCTCATCAACGTGGCAGGCATCATCCAATCCACTGAAGGCCTGAATAGAACAAAAGTAAGAGCAAATTAGCTAACCCATCCATCTTCTTTTGCCTTCGGACATCAGAGCTCCTGGCCTTCAGACTCTAGGACTTAGGCCACTTGCCCGAAAGGCATTTGTACTTGGGATTGGGAGGTATACCATTAGCTCCCCTACTTCTCAGTCCTTTAGACTTGGACTCGATTACATTATCAACTTTCCTGGATCTCCAACTTGTAGATGGCAGCTTATGGGTCCTTTCAGCCTAATTCTTGAGCCAATTCTCACAATAATCTCTTCATACACACTCACACCCCCTACTGATTCTGTTTCTCTGGAGAGTCCTAGCATACTATACAAGGCAACCACAATCTGTTAGAGAAGAATTATTTTTCATTAAAATTTTTTTTGGAATACTAAGGCAGAGAGAAAGTAATAATAAGCTGTTAGTAAACCCAAGAAATTAAAGAAAATAATATTATAACCTCATCTAAATTATTTTGTCTGTTATATTTCAAATGGGAAGTTTCTTTTAACTCTGAAAAATCTGGACTTCAGAAAGAAATGAAATTTATCAGTTTAGATCCTCCAGGTCATGAGTAACTTTAATAAAGTTATAAAATAATACATACCTGAGGTCTTATATGTTACATCAATACAAGAAGATTTAGAACAAGCCTAATTTATGATAGTAATTAGTAAACCTTGGGGAAATACCACTTTGATGTAAATGCTGTTCATTTATCTCTTAAAATCTAACTCATATCCATAAATTAAGCTTTAGAGCAGAACTAACTTATCCAAAAATTAATTGCTGGATAACAATCCATGTAACACACAGAAAAGTTGATTGAAAATGTGAACATATTCCAAAACCTGTAAAATGAAAAACATCAAGTCTTCAAAAGCACTAAGCACTAATGGGGAGGGGAAAATGAAGGCTATTACAGTAAATAAGACAACCAAAGATCCTATCTTATTCTTTAGTTCCTCAATGTTTTGGAGACCTTCCTTCTAAACAAACCCCACTAGTTAACTATATACAAATGAAATGCTTCATTATGAAGCACTTCTGACTTTTCATCACAGCAGACAGATCATGAGTGTGGTAAGAGCCCAGCTCTTCAGAGAAAAGGTAGAAAATATAATTTAACATAAAATACTGTGTTTGGTATGAAATGAGTAAGAACCCAGGAGAGTACAACCAACCTCAAGAGGAAAAGGGTATACATTGCTCTACAAAAGGAAGCATCTGAAAAGGCCTTGAAATACAAACTGGAATTTGCCAATGAGATAAAAAATATTCCTAGCATGTTCATAACCATGGAAGAAAGCAGCAAATAGGTCTAAAGGCTCCAAGTGGAATGTATTAAAAGTGATTGGGAATGACAATGGAAAGGCAGAAAGGGCAAAACAGCAAAGGTATTAGAATCAAAAGTAGGTTTTAGTTTTAGCCTCTGGATGAGTTTATTTCATGTTATCCACCATCCATCAATAGTACTTGAAACCAATTTAGAAAGTGGGAATATTAAAGAGTACAGCACATACAATTTTGCTGCAAACTGTTCCAGTTATATGTACTACAAACAAATTTTCTACCTGTATGTATGTGTTCAATAAATCAAAATGCAAAAATACATGTATTTCTATTGGAGGTTGAAAGTTTTAAAACTCACTAAACATTAGGGGCTACCAGTTAGAAGTAACAAGACTCTATACATAAAGAAGTTATAAAGATCAGAACTTTTATCATAACTCTGATGACAAAGCCAAATAAGTCCCCCATCTTTCTTACTCATATATCTATACCTTTTTCTAACATTTATTTCTAATATTTCTAACTTTATTTTATATCCACTATGTGCCAAGCAAAGGATTTGCTTTTGGGGCTTGTCTCCTCAAAGCGTGCCAAAGCAAGAATCCACTTAATGTTTTTGTTCAGTTTTTCCCTTCCTCTTTGTTCTCCAAGTTTTCCCTAACTTTCAAGGCTCAAATTCCACTTCTTTGAATAAAGAATGGCACATAAGGGCTGGGGTTATGGCTCAGTTATAGAGCACTTGCCTAACACATGAGGCACTAGGTTCAATCCTCAGCACCACATAAAAAAATAAATAAGTAAAAAAGAATGGCACATGATATCCTCCCCCTAAAACCACATTCTTTCACTTATGTCCTATCTTGCAACAGCTTCTAAAATTTTTTTTTAACCTCTCCATAACTCTTCAGTTCTTAAGGACAGAGGCATTAGTCGTATTATTTTTTTGGATTCTCCAATGCACCTGAAACTCCATGTTACATACGATTGTACTGAATTTCAGATACTGGCTCCTATTCAATAGATACTTTTAAGGAACCATTTGTGTGTAAGGCTCCTGACACTGGGGTGCCAAGTAAAAGTAAATAAATGACAGACCTGGCCTCAATAAGGCTCAGAGCCTAGTAAGATTACAGACACTAAACCAGGCACAGTGGTGCAAGCCTGTAATCCCAGAGGCTCAGGAGGCTGAGACAGGAGGATCACAAATTCAAAGCCAGCCTCAGCAATGATGAGGTACTAAACAACTCAGCGAGACCCTGTCTCTAAATAAAATACAAAATAGGGTTGAGGATGTGGCTCAGTGGTTAAGTGCCCCTGAGTTCAATCCCCAGTACCCCCCCAAAAAATTACAGACACTAAACAAAAAATGATAAGTGGGAGGAATTACAAAAGCTCTGAATTCTCTCACAGACTATTTAATGATAAATATGTATTATCATAAACATTTTTATAAAAAGGCATTATAGGCTTGGATTGTGGCTCAGTGGCAGGGTGTTTGCCTCGCACGCATGAGGCACTGAGTTGATATTTATGGCTGCTATATTTATGTTATAAATATAACATACAGCCTTTGATAAAAACACAAGGTTTAATGTTAAAATCCACCAAGCACAGCATTAAAATGTTACTGTGACAATTCTTCAAGGTGTCAAACAGAATAACTGCCTTTACTGCCCCTCTGTACACTTACCCTCTTTAAGGGTGGGACTGTGTGATCCCAAAATTCATGTGTTGAAATCCTGAGTGGCAACACCTCAGAATATAACCTATTTGGAAATTAGGACTTTAATGTGGTAAAAACAAGGTCTAAATTAGGGTAAGTCCTAACCCAATGATTGTTGTCTTTATAAAAGGAAATCTATCCAGTCATGTGCCCATACAGAGAACAATGTGAAGACTGAAAGAGAACAGAGCCATTTAATAAGGCAAGAAGAAAGGCCTCAGAACACATCAACCTTTCCCACAGATTTCTGATCTTCAGAACCATGAAAAAATAAACTTCTGTTGTTTAAGTCACTATGTCTGTGATTCTTTGTCATGGCAATACTGGCAAGAACACAGCTGCATCTAAAGATGAAGGACAAACCATCTGGAGATTAGGAGGTAGTTCCTGTCATAATGAAGTAAATGCAGGGAAGGCAAGAGAGCAAGCACCGTATAGAGGAGTTCATTTTTCAAAGACTCTTGAAATTTTACACAAAACAAAAAACAAATATACATACCTTATAGAGAGCTGCAACCCCCAGGGCAACCGTGAATGCTCCAACAATATGAAACCGCAGACGCTTGGCCAGAAGACCCCGCATCTGAGGTTTCGCCAAAGTGCCGGAAGCCATGGCAGTTACTGTCCTTCATAGATAAAATAAGAAAACAAAATCAACAACAACAAAAAATCTTTAGAACAGAGTAAGAGATCTAAAGCACTCTCATGCATGATACATTTTAGTCCTTAGACAAAGGTCAATGGTGGACTGACTCCTCCCACAAAGCCCAACAGGACGTTGGGTGACCCAGCCTGCAGAACAGTCCAGATACCCCAAATAAACGTGGTCATTGTGGCACAACCAGAGACCCTGAGCAAAAAGTACGACTAAATATCTCTCCCAACCACAAAGACATGCAGAAGCTCTAGTGGTAATTACACGTGCAAATACTCCTAACAGCATTTAAATTTTTTTTTTTGAGACAATTCCATGAAACAGTGAGGTGGGTGTTCTGCAATCACACCGTAAGCCACTAAAACGCAGAAGGGATCGCAGCGGCTGCCTCGAGGGCCCGCGCTCCCCCCGCAGCCCAGACACCTGGGGGRAGGGGGTCCTTAAAGGCCGCACGGTGACCTTCCTCAGCGGCCCAACTCTAACCTCAAACCAGGCTACACAGCAAACAGCGGCCCACCCCCTACGTCGACCCCCCTAGCCACACSACCGGCTGGGAAGAACCCCCAGCCCCTTTAACGAGTGAAACCCTGGGCCCCATAGGTCAAATGACCTAAACAAGGTCACGCTGACGGGAGGAAAACGCAGCGGGACCCGGGCCCGGCCGACCCACTCCGAAGCCCGCAGGCTTCCTGAGGACCCCCCGCCAACCCCGCTCCCACGGAGCCGCCCGCTTCCAGCCCCGCTGCCCGCCGCCCTCCTAAGACCACGACAGGGGCGTGCAAGAGGCGACGTGGGAGAAAAGTCCGGGGCTTCACCGCGGCTGAGGCTCGGAGTCACGACTCAACTCCCAGGCCGACAAAGAGCGAAAGGCGGCAGTCTTGAAAACCGCAATGCGGGTCTCGAACAGTACCCGAACGCACCTCCACACCAGCGTCCTTCCCGGTAGATAGAGAAATGGACGGTTTTCCCGCAGTGCGCAGGCGCAGAAGGAGACTGCGCAGAGAGGCCGCAGCGACGGGAACCTAAAGAGTCCAAAAGTCTTTCGGTGAGCCTCCTGGCGTTTACTACGGAAATCCAGGCGCTTAGGATCTATACTATGCGACCTTGAAGCAAAGGATTTGACCTCCTGAGACAGTTTCCCTAGTAAGCTTAAAATGGCAATCTTATTCATATAGTTATTATAGACTTATGAAGGAATACAAAGATATTTAATATGTGAAAAAAAATTAATGTACCCTATAAATGCAGTACTAATTATCCCGGGCTAAACGATTGCTTAAGCATGTGCAAACCAAAGCTTTATGACTTTATGTGATTGAGCGCTTGGTTTGGGTAAAGGGTGAAAGAGATAACTTCCAGTAACTCACAGTCTAACATATAAGACAGACACAAACAGATTAATACCAATCCCCCCACAGTGAGAACGAACACCCATCTACCACAGAAGCAATTTTGGAGAGTTGACAAAGCTGAGCAAGTTTTAATGAGAGGGGCATTTATGTTGGACTATTAGTAAAAAACAAGTGTTTTCTAAGGCAGGCAACTAGAAGCTCCTGGAAAGTGGTGTAGAAGAGGCAGGTACTTGTGCTGGCTTAGTTATTATTGAAATGACCTGTATTTGAAAGGCATGATTTAAGTCAACTGAGCAAGCACTGTGGAAGATAAACTGGCACAGAAAAGTCACATGATGCTGACTCAACATATTTTGGTTATGTACCTATTATGCTCAGCTGTGTTATACAGGAGGACAGGTACAAGGTGGCCCATTGTTATAGAGTCTTTGTCCTCAACTTATTAACAGACACTAGGGAGTGAAAACTTCCAGCTACACACAGAAAGGTGCTTATTAAGAGTCAGAAGTGGGTTTGAGCCTCAGCAACATTTTTCAGGCACCTCATCAAGAGTCTACAGGTAGACTGCTTACTATTTTCAGTTCTGTCACTCCTTAAGTTCTTTTCTCCCGGCCTGTTCCTACCTAATTTCTGAGAAATCTATAAAACCTTAGAGTTACCACAAAATCATTTACTTATGATAATTACCTTGAACACTGTTTATTAGCCCACCAATAAATAGATTAAGCAAAGAGAAATATAATAATGTTTTAATAAACCTATTATGTAGGAGTCTTCCCAGCATTATCAATTGATCACATAACAGAGACTGCATGAGCCTAAAGGATCATAAGTATAAGCTCAAAATGACAAGTTCAGTCCTCAACAGATTCAGGGAAGCCATTTATTGTTCTTCGTGGGTGCCTTGGGGACTCATTTTCTGGATGCAAAAAGGGCCATTGGCTACAGAGGGAATTTTGTTTTATAGGGTGCAATTAGGGTGGTTTCATTCAGATAGTCAGGGGCTAGTTATGTAGGTTAAAACTTGTAACTCAGGAGGGCAGCTATGAAAGGCAGAAACTCATTGTTACTTGGAGAGATAGGAGTTCAGATTGTGAGGGATGGGTATTTTTTTCTGGAATTTATTGTCTCCCAGAGTTTCAATATTTGTCTCCTTCCTTCAGGGCCATTGGTCAGTTTTTACAGGGTGTCTTTTTAGGACTAATTTGCAATGGGGGAAAGTCAAAGTCCTAACATTCAGTATTTGCCTCCTTCCCTCAGGGCCCACTGTTACCAGGAAAGGATTTACTGGAAGGTTAATGCTTGGCTACTTTCCCCACCTTCCTCCCAAGCAGTCTCTCTGCTTTTCCTTGGGAGTTGCTTTGTAGGGTTATTATTTTCCATAATTCTTCATTCCAGACTCTGAAAGGATAAAGGAATTGGAGCGCCAGATCTGGATCTGGCTGCTTCAAGCTGAGAAGCAGCAAAGTTGGGGGATCTCTCCTTTCAGTGTTCTGGAATACAACATGGAGACCCCAGTGGGAGAGGACCTTGAGGCCATCTTAAGAGGAGTTTCCCTTTGTGATCTCAGTGAGTCAGAAAGTGAGCAGTAAAATGGCATCCATCCATGTATTATTAAGAAATCGTTCCTATATAAAATTAATAATAGGCAGAGGAAAGACTATTGTAAGTAGAGTTATTATAAGAAAGGTGAAGAGTAATTGATTTGCTGTTACCAAGAAAATAATTTCAGCAGGTAATACAGTTGGGACTCTATTGTCCTTAGTGGGGGCCATGTGCCCTACTCAGATTTAGGGTGTACTCTCCACGATTCCAAGAGTGTAGGTTCTTCAGAGCATAGCAAGCATGATTAACTATGGAATCATAGTTTCCTGGTGTTTTAATCTTCTTCATCCTGCTCAACAAATTATGCAAAATAAGAACAGAAATAAAATCAACAGTATAGTTATAGCTAGTAATCCAGTTACATGTGTAGAAAAGTATTTAAAAGGGTTCAGAGAAGAAATTCCTTCAGCTAAACTCCTCTAACTTCTTCATTATTAAAAGTCAACCATTTTTGTCTCCTCTGTTTCCAGTCTGGTGTGGCTGTTTATGAAGTTAAAGACAAAATGCAGAAAACACAGAAAAGAAAAGAGATTTGAGTTGTGGGTTTCATCAATGAATGTCCCTTGAAGCCAAAGATCTTAAATAGGTCTAATGCTTGAAAAGGAGAGAGATGAAGGAGGATTGAATATAATAAATTTAATTTGTCTCTGAGGGCTGTTAAGAAAAGTTGAAAGGAGGCCTGAGAAAGGGAAAGTAGGAATTTCAGGTGTGACTCTCAGCAACTTCCTCAGGAATGGCAGGAAAGTAGGTAATGTGAAGCCAGGTGGGACCTGTGAGAATGGAGTGATAAGATGCATTAGCAGGAATGAGTTTTATATTGCTTAGGTGGATCTAGGAGGGGAGGCCTACTAATTTGACTGCAGTGGAAGTGGTTAAAATGACTTTGAAGGGGCCAGCCCACTTTTCTTGGGAAGGGGAAAGGTAAACGAAATCTCCTTCAGTAATAGGAGGGAGGGCTCCTGAAGATTGGGGCTGGGGAAGATGGGTGTGGGCATACTTCCAGAGGGTAGCTCTGAGGTGAGCCTAGAGGGGTTTCAGGGCTTCTGGAAGAAAGCTAGGTGATTGAGGTGGGTTGCCCTAAGAGAAGTTCAAAGGGGCTGATCCTAGGGGCTTCTTGGGCCATGCTCCCATCTGGAGGAAAGCCAAAGGGAGGAGCCTAATCCAATCCAAGTGGTTTAGGTTTCGTTCAGGCAAACCTATTTGTCCTTTCAACTTTTCCTGAGCACTGTGGATGATAGGGAATGTGGAAGTTCCATTTTATATTTAAAATTTTAGCCAATTCTTGGGTGATGGAGGAAGTAAACTCTGGATCCAAAGCATGGAATTATTTCCCGAGAAAGTAAGGTTGCTACAGTGGAAGCCCTCTTGTTGCTGGTTGGAAAGGCTTCAACCCATCCAGTAAAGGGGTCTACCAAAACCAGGAGATATTTGGTCTTTCTTAAGGGTGGCATGTGTGTGAAGTCAAGTTGCCAGTCCATGACTAGAAGAACCCCTCTRTCTTGGTGAGTGGGAAATGAAGGTGGTCTCACATTGTTGTTGGGGTTAGCCTTGAGACAGGTTGTACATGATTGGGAAATTTGCTGGAGATATTGTAAGTCTGAAGGAGACAGGTTTAGTGACTTCTTTAGGAATATTTGGAGAGAACAAGTGTTTGGATGTAATAAATTATGGAGATAAGACAAGAGGGCCTTGTTTTATCAGGGGGAAGCTGGAGTTTTGTAGGCATGGAATATAAAACTATTTAGGCATGGTAACTAGACTGAGCAATTTTCCTAGTAAGCCTGTCTGCTTCCTGGTTCTCTAAGGAAAAGTAATTTTTATCTGTCTGACTCCCTTTGCAGTGTAAGATTGCTACCTAACGGGGTCAAAGTGCAGCTTCAAGCAAATCTTTTATGTAGCTAGCATTAAGAATTGGGGTTCTGCTGGGCATGGTGGTGCACGCCTGTAATCCCAGCAGCTCAGGAGGCTGAGGCAGGAGGATTTGTGAGTTCAAAGCTAGGCTCAGCAATGGTGAAGCGCTAAGCAACTCAGAACCTGTCTCTAAATAAAATACAAAATAGGGCTGGGGATGTGGCTCAGTGATTGAATGCCCCTGAGTTTACTTCCCAGTGTCAAAAAAAAAAAAAAGAATTGGGGGTTCTTTCTGAGTTAGGAAGTCCCCCTCCCTCCAGATTAAGATGTTAGAATGAATAATATTGTATGTGTATTTGGAATCAGTAAAAATATTGACTGATTTATCCCTGGCTAATGATAAAGCTTGGATGAGGGCCACTAACTCAGCCTGCTGGGATGTGGTGCCTGGAGGTAAGGGAGATAACTCTAATATCTGAGTGAGAATGAAAAGGAAATCTGTTGTAGCTTTTCCTTGAATTATACCATAACCTGCAAGGTAAAGGGACTGTTTCTGGGAGCTTCCATCTATGAACCAGTTGGAGAGTCAGGTAAATGCTGATCCATTATTTGAGAAAATGGACTTATCAAAAAGTTCAGAATGTCAGGACAGAAGTGAGACATTATAGGTAAAAATAAATAATGACTGAAAAGATCCTGGAGGGAGTGTGTAGTAAGTGCAATAATGGGTTGATAACAATGAAAATTTTCTTGCCTTAGGGATTGGGAGAACTGCGGTTGCTAAAACTTCAAGGCATTGGGGCCAGCCTTGATAAACTAAGTCTACTTATTTAGATAAGAATGCAAAGGGTGCAGGGTATCTTCAGCCTTTTAGTAAGGAACTCCCAAGGCTTGTTCATTCTCTGAATGTAGTGACAGGAAAAAAGGCTTGTTGGGGTTTGGTAATATAGAGTTGAGAATTTGAGAAGAGAATTCTGTAGACTAGAAATGATAGAGGAAAAAGAACAGGGATATGGAAGAAGATCTGACAGATTTCCTTTGGAAGCTTCATAGAGGAATTTGGCTACAAGGGAGAATTTTGGTATCCAGATGCAAAAATAGTTAAAAAGGCCTTAGAGGGACAGCATGTCTCTTTTGGTGGTGAGTAGGGGATGTT